CAGAGGTAGGAAAGACCATCTTTAATAAATTATTTTCTTAATTGTAGAGAATCTTGAAAATTAAAACTGTCGAAATGCTAAACCATGCCTTTGATGAGTCCCAAAGAACCATAGATCCAGCGACTCCTATCTGAAGAATTAGTTCCCTGGAGTGTTCTAGCCTTCACTGGGCACTTGACAGCAAATCTACCAGGGCTGGGAACAGCTGCACCAAGAAAGCCTTCTACTGCTCTCACTTGCCGATTCTTTGGACCACCCAGTCCTGCTGGCAGAGAGGGCAGCGATTGTTCTGTTTCACCCACAGGGACATGCAGCAATTGTGGAAGGAATGATTACACTCTCCCCAAACCACTGAAAGAAAAGAAAAAGAACAGACAACATGACACATTTCAATCTAAATTACTAAGCTAAAAATTATAGCTTATTTTATATTATGAATCAAAGTCATGGTTCATAATCCTGAATAAAGATGACTGGTCAAAATATTTTTTCTATCTATAAAAATATACAAATTTACATGTGTAAATAATATTTAGAAATAAGTCACTGTGTTTGGGGGACCTTCCATCCCTGTTTTGAGAATCTACGAGTGAAGTGATGACCACCAGTTCCTAAAGAGCTCCACATGATCTCTTCTTGAAGAAAGTCAGGAGATTAGGACTTGAATCTTCTGTAGATCTCAGACCTTCTCGGCCATGCACTGACCTTAGAGATCTTTTGGGCTTTATTGAAAAATGTCCTCCTGGTTTTTATTTACCAAGACAGAATGCATTTTAAGAGTTTTCAGGGGCTGGGGATGTGGCTCAACCGGTAGCGTGCTCGCCTGACATTTGTGCGGCCCGGGGTTCAATCCTCAGCACCACATACAAACAAAGATGTTGTGTCTGCCGAAAACTAAAAAGTAAATATTAAAAAATTCTCTCTCTAAAAAAAAAAAAAAAAAAAGTTTTCAGTTCATAGGTGGCCATCATAAGGCAGAGACACTCCTCCAAGCACTAACAGTTATCCATCTACTGAGTTGTTTCCTAGAAGTGATAAACTGTTAAGTCATCCAGAAGCTGTGCAATTCCTCATGTGACAATGAATCAAAGTGGCTGGCTGGAGAGGAGTCTCTCTGTGATAAAAGAGGCCAGCCTTAACAAGTTCTAATTAATTTTTTAAAACAAACTGCATAAAAAAAAAATTTAAACAGAGACAGCATCCATAGTCTGAAATAATGCAATATCAAACGTGGGCTTCATTTGCCCCTTACTTGACCCACTGAGTTATATAATAAGAGCACAAGGTAATATGGAAGAAAACAGAGAAAAAGAAAAAAAAAAACCACAAACAAAAAAACAACTTTTTATGAAAACCGGCTGAGAGGGTGGGAAGCAGGGAGGAAAAACATTCTAACCTTTTCTTTTTTTTTTAATTAAAAAAATTTGGGGGGCGGCGTAATTGTGTATGGACAGCATACCTTTATTTGTTTATTTTTATGTTGTGCTAAAGATAGAACCCAGTGCCTCACACATGCTAGACAAGCGCTCTGCCATTGAGCTACAGCCCTTGCCCCAGCCCCATTCTAAGCTTTTTAGAAGGAAAAAACAAAACTTGATCAAAACTGCATCAACCATTACTAATAAGATAAGACTCAGAAGGTAAGCCATGGCAACAAGCACAAAGCTTATTCTAGGAAACTCTAGGAAACATTTTAAAAAGCAATCTAAAAACAATCACCCTAAGAACCAGGACATAAAAATAAAAACTTTTGAATTGCTTAAAATTGTTAGACTAAAACAACTTTTGTAGTCTAAGACTATAAAGATAATAATTTAAAGATCTACCAGGCTGTGAACAACTGCACCATGGAAACCTACCACTAGCATCTAAGGTTTCTAACTCCTACCTTAGTTAAAAAATTAATTAATGCGCCTTAAGAGAATTGAAAACAGAAATGCTTTATTAGAACCAAAACTGACTTAGAGTCAAAATTCAAATGATCTTTGACAAATTCCTTAATTTATAGTTAATACTATTAAAAGGAGATCATTATTTCTTTTTGATTACAAAAATGTTTACCATGATTATATTTGAAATTATATAACCAATTCTTAATTAGAGCAATAAAGGAGTAACTTACAGATTAATTCCCTTAAGGCCTTTTAAGAACCAACACATTTTATATTAATAATGGCTCACTGCTTTACAGTTTATTTTTGTATTAATAAAGTCAATCTTAATAGCAAATTCAAATATCCCGAATGAGGAAAAAACCCTTAGTTTAAAAAGCAAGAGAAAAAAATTACAACATACCAACACAATCTTCTTGTTTGTTTTCAGCTTGACATCTAAGACAGGCATCTAAAAGTAAACAAATAGCAATTTTTCACTCTGATGCTCAGAATGTAATTTTTAAAACCCAGATACTTCAAAATGAAATAAAAGGCCTAAAGGTTACAGATGAGGATAAGATTCATACTTAGCTTCTCATCTGATTATAAGTATTTAAAGAGGAATAAAGTACAAGGCGTCCTACTAATTTATTTATGACCAGGAGCAATTTCACAAGGGTTAAGGATTATTTTTACAAGCTGTGAAGAAAAGAAGTCTTGACAGCACCACTAGAGGAAGATGTACCACACAACACTATAGTACAAATTACTGTGCACTCACATGCAGTGGGAGGGTAGTTTATTTTTTAAGACAGCATTTTTAACAAGCCATGCCTATATATTGGTATTTCCTTATATATATGGAAATACATATATACATACATATATGTATGTGTGTGTATATATATATATATGTATTTCCATATGTATACACACACACACACACACACATACACATATATAAAAATCTAAATGGATACCCAAAAAAACAATTATAAAGTTTATAGGAGTGGATAGAATGGGAAGGAGTTTTCAGCATAACTTCTTAAATTTTTAACTACATGACTACATAACCTACTAAAAATTAAAACTTCTTTCATAAACAGTTTTTCTTAAGTCATCCATACTTACTGACCCTTAAAAAATATTTTTTTTTCTTTCTCCCCTATGACACCTTTAAGTTTCTTTAAAATAAATGATTTTCTAATGTTTCCAACAGGTCAGAACCATGGTGAACAAGACTGGTGAAGAGGGGTGAGGCAGAGAAGGGAAAGCAAGGGTTTGGCAACTGGGCAGATCTAGCATCAAGTCCTGCCTCAGTGGCATTTACTAGCTCTGTCGCCCTGGACCAATTATGAACTTCAGATGAGCCCCAATTCTCTCTCCTGTAAAAAATCGATCATTCCATGACTATTTATAGGTAAGAGAGGAGATAACCACCTGTGAGAGCTTTATAGCACAAATAAGTAGACAGGAGGTAACGTTAAACACTCTATTTGAAGAAAATGCTCCCTTTACAGATATTTCCTTACAGGTAGCAAAGTATCTTAATAAATTATTTGGGAGTAAATACTAGAAATGGGAACCTAAAGGATGTACTGAAGTTTTCAAAACCTATCTGTAGTACTATCTGCTTGATGAAAAAGGTACTACATTAGCTGGAAGAGGAAGGAGTCCAAGATGGGTAAAAGGAAGTTCAAATCAACAACATCATCATCAACAACAACAAACCAGTTTACAGAATAAATATAGAAAAATAATTCTGTAAAAATAGAAACAGTGGAGCTGAAGCCTGCTTTTCTTCTGCTGCTAGTTTATGCTCAGACATCCGTCTGCTCCTCTCCACATGCTCTTACCCTTAAAAAAACACCAGCGCCCTGGCCTCTCCAGTGTGGATGAAAAACAACCACTGCCTCCTGGGGAGCCCTTCAATTCTGTAATTACTAGCATCTCCTCTGAGCAAGGACTTATGCACTGGGGACACAAAAAAAGAACATGGCTGTGTCTTAAAGAGCTCACTAACAAATAAAAAGCGCCCAGGAGCACAGGGATCCTGATGAGACAGGAAAGCCACGCTACCCTGCAACCCTACCAGGCTTGAGTTCTGTGTAACCACTGAATTTTAAGAATATTAGGATTGGCGATCCGAGTGCCTGTTTCACAAATCAGGAAAATAAGACTCCAAAAGGCTCTGTGGCATGACCAAGTGAACATCCATCCCGAAGGGTTACTCTGACTTTCACAACTGGACTGTGCTGGCAAACCTATTCCCCTATCCCATCAGTCCTCACTCCCTGTGCCATCAGCTCCTTCCAGAATCAGGGAGGGGCTACAACCCAAGGACAAGAGAGTTACCTACCCTAGAAAGGTGTGACAGAGATAATAATTTATCTCACATGCCTAAATGGTGAGAGGTAGGACACCATTTAGGCATGTGAGATAAATTCCAACTATTAAGGATATAGGAATATGGGGGTTCTTGTTGCACAATCTAGAAACATGCTTATAGATTTAAGAATTACTCTAAAAAGTTGATCCAAATCTACATGAATCCTTAAAGTTTCAAATAAAATAAAAAATTATTTTAATAATGATCCTGATATTTAAAATAGCACATTTCTAAGGAGTATAACAGTTAACACCTTTTAAAATGATGCTAGACTAAGGACTAGGAAGTCAGAAAAAAAAATATTTCCTTCTGCTGTCACCTGACCACCAAGTGGCCACAAACATCTCATAAACAAAATACAAAGGTCTAGTCCAGGATACTTTCCTGAACCCAAAGTACAGTTGTTGTAAATATTCTCAATAAATCTTGGAGAAGCAGAACATTTGCTATAATTAGAAAGTTAATTATGAACCTGAGTCTCACATAGCCCACACTCTGACCTACTTTGAGTATCCCAGTAAAGTTTATTTGTTGCAAAATCTCAATCATATCTTAGGTTCTGGATTTCTACTTACTAACTCCACCCCCAGCCTTTGGGGAGAAAATAGCTCCCTAAGAGAGAGATCCTTTTGAAATGCCTCTTTAGGAATGTTCCTTTAAAACTAGAAAGATATTAAAGAATACAGGAAATTTAGGGTATAAAATTTTTAGTAAAACTTGTCCTGCAAAAGAACAAAAGGTCAAGTCTTCTGGATAAGTTAAAAATACCTCCCAAACTGGAAATTATTATTCTAGCTTTGTGGATGGCTGTACTGCATGCAAATAAAATAGTTTAATATGCAAAATAAGTGGATCACATCCATTATCAAGATCTTCCAAAAGTACAAATAAAAATACTTGAATCCCATGTTGTAAATCTTGAAAACAAGTCCTTAGGAATGAAAGGCAGAAGAGAACATAAGCTGGGAGCTCTCTCCATTGTAGTAGGTTGAAAGTCTCATTCCCCAAAAAGGATGCATAATTCACTTTACTTTCTCCAATTTGCTTATTTTTCTGAGCAAGCCACTACGTTTTCAAACTAAAGAAGCGTAAGTTTTCTCCATACACCTTCAAAAACATTATCATTCACCAATGAAGATAGTCTCATAGTTATTTTAAATCCATTTAAATAACAGCTGTCTTGAGATTCAAAACAGAAACCTATAAAGCTCAAAGAGATTGTTCTGAAATGTTTCATTTGGTGCAATATTTTTTACTCAAAATATAAAAAGAAGACATATTTGTATAAGAGAGCTCTCCATATGGGCATGGTAGATCAGGACAATATCTTCCCTAGGAAATGACATCCTACTATGGAAAGGAGGCTAGATGGCGATAAGGTTTTGTTTCTGAATAAAAGGTTTTTGCTTTTGGTACTGGGGATTGGACCCTGGGGCAATTTACCACTGAGATACATCCTCCTCCTTTGTATTTATTTTGAGACAGGATCTCACTAAATTGCCCAGGGAGGTCTCTAACTTGGGATCCTCCTGCCTCAGACTTCCGACTTGCTGGGATTACAGGCCTGCACCGCAGCAGCCGGCAATAAAGGGTTCATATTTTTCAATTCCCCATGCAATTCAAATATTCTTTACCCACACTTCAAACAAGCGAGGTCTATCTGCCTGGGTCTTGAATCAATACTGATTTAAAAACTAGCCCAGGAGCAGCAGCAGCAGGGAATCAGGAAATGCACCGTCCGTATACTTTCTTTCCTGAACTGAGGGTGTCTGTGTGGACTTGACTCCCAAGCATCGCTTCGCGCGTGATGAGACCCCAGTGCACAGCCGGACGTGGCCTCTTCCCTGACCCTCTGCACTCTGCTTTCAGAACAGGGGCTGGCCCGCACGTCAAGAAGTCCTCCCAGCTCCCCTCAGGCCTCCCGGTTTAATTTTTTTGGGTCACACCCACCGCCACCTGCAATTACCTGATTCGGTTCCTCCGCGCAGAACACCAGCCCCCGCGCTAGCGAGGAAGACCACCCCGCTGGCCCCCCGATCGCGGCGCAAGGCGCCAGCGGCCTGGGCGTGGCTCGCGTCCACGCGCCGGCAGCGCGACCCCGCCGCTCCCCGCCCGCGCCGCGCTCAGCCCGCGAGGCCGGCCCGCCGCCCCGGCTTCTCGTGCAGCACTTACCCATCACCTGGACCCTGCAGATGGCGCATGTATCGCACTCCACGTCCCAGCTCCACATGGCCACCGCGTTCCACTTCTTGAGCGAGAACATTTTGTCGCTTCCCGACTTGGAGCCTGCGCTCCCGGAGTGGGATGACAAGGCGCAGGGCTCTTCGCTGTCTTCCACATCTGCCATGGCGGAGGCGCGGAGCCGGCGGCGAGGACGTTGGGTTAAAGGAAGCGGGCGGCTATGGCGGCTCTGTGGGGCTGCCCGACGGGCCATAGCGCCGCCCGGAGGCCGCGGGCTACGGCGGAGCCCACACTGGCGCGGCCCGCGATTGGCTGGCGCGGCCTGGTGACGTCACCCTGCGACAGCGCCGGGGCGGGGACTGTGGCCCCGCCTCCCCGTTCTCGGCTTCCCAGGGTCTGGAGGCCTCGGGACGACCCCTGCTGAAACCAGGCGCCTTACGCTTTAGAGCGTGACCTCAGAGCAGGCCGCAGATAGTGCAGGGCCCCCTGTCCTGCTCCGTGTGGCTGTTAAACTTGCAGCTCTTACAGACTACTTTGCTAATTTGTCTCTTCGCTGCCAAATGTAAACTCTTATCAGAGCAGGGACTGCCGGGTCTCATCAACACCTTAGACTCTCTAAAAGTGCCACCGTTGTTTGTTGAATGAATGAATGACCTGAAAGATCTAGAAAATGCGTTTAGTCTCAGGACTCCTTTACACTTAAAATTTATTAGAACCTTAAGGGGCTTTTGTTTATGTAAGAGATACATGGATATAGATAGATATTTGTTTTTCTTAATATTTATTTTCTTCATATTTATTTTAGTTTTAGATGGACAGCATGCCTTTATTTCACTTATTTATTTTTATGTGGTGCAAAGGATCGAACCCAGTGCCTCAAGTGTGCCAGTCCAGCGTCCTACCACTTGAGCCACATCCCCAGCCCTAGATATTTGTTTGTAACAAAATGAAACAAAAAGTTTAAAATGTGTAAATTCAGCCCCTTGCTGTCACGCTTTTCATTTCAGCGACGAGTGAGGCTGAGGCAGGACCCTCACAAATTTGAGGCCAGCCTCAGCAATTTAGTGAGACCTTGTGTCAAAAATTTAGTACAGGGCTGGGCATGTGGCTCAAGTGGTAGCGCGCTCTCCTGGCATGCGTGCGACCCGGGTTCGATCCTTAGCACCACATACCAACAAAGATGTTGTGTCCGCCAAGAACTAAAAAATAAATATTAAAAAATTCTCTCTCTCTCCTCTCTCACTCTCTCTTATAAAAAAAAAAAATTAGTACAAAGCGATAGGCATGTACTCAGTGGTAAAGTGTCCTTGTTCCAACCCCAGTACTGCAAAAAAACAGAAGGAAAATAAAATGTATTAATTCGTTTAAAAATAACAGACCCATTGCAAGTTATTATTAGAGCAGTGTCATATCGTTTCTGGAAAATTCCACTGTATACTCAAGAGAGTGAGGATGGAAAATGAGAAATAGCTATGAATGTTGTTATGGGAAGAGTTTGACTTCATTCATTCCCTAAAAGTATCCTGGAAACTCTGGAGACCACATTTGGAGCTAGTTTAACCTCTTTTTCTATGTAGGAGTAATGAAGTACAGAGAAGTGAAGTAACTTAACAAAGATCACACAGGTATTATGTGAAGGTGATTGTTTTAAAACCAAGGTTCTACTGGTAGCCCAAGAGTCCTCATCTTATGTTTTCCTGAGCAAAGCAGACAATGTCTCCATTTAAAAGATAAGAAAACTGAGTCATGGAGAGTCTTGTGGCCTCATCAAGGGTGTCAGGTTTGGGATTCAGAACCTCCCACCTCTCACTGGGCTTGATCCTAAACCTTGTGCTTGGGGAAGGTGGGACAGATCAGACTCAAGGGACCTGTTACTGGAGGCAAGACTGCACAAATGTATAGGAGCATAAATGTGGCCACAGTGACATTGTCCTGATTGTCAATGAGTGGCACGTGGGTGTTACCACTGTTTACGGATGACGAGTCCTTACTTCCCCAATGCTGAAGTATAACACCAGAGAAGCTCGCCGAGGCAAGTTTAGAGTGGAAAGTAGATGCTTTATTAAAGGACAGCAGAAAAGACTTTTCCCCAGAGGAAGAAGGGGATCCAAGAGGTGGAATCCATGGAAGGTCGAATGTGTTCCCCTTCTAATAGCTAAAGTCTACATTCAGCTTTCCCGCATTCCTGTCGCATTCCAGTCCTTTGTTCTGTTTTCTTTCATTGATGGAATGTAGATGAGAAGGCCCAAAGGGTGGGGCATAGGTGGGCCAAAGGAGTAATCCCAGCAGGAAGGACTTTTGGATTAGCATCTCTAAATTTGCTGGGAGCTGGTTCATTAACATTTCTTTGGGATGGGCCTTGGGGACATTCACATTCCAAGAGTTGTTCTGCTTTTCCAGGACTCCATTCTCAACATGGCCTTCATTTTCGATTTTACTCAATATTTTAACCTAACTGTGGGAGACCAACCTCACACGTGACTAGGTAACTCCCCGGCTGGGTGTTGAGGCGCTCAGTCACAGAAATGTGGCAGCGCTTTCCCCACACTTCTTGGGTGCGAGGGTCGGTGTCTCATGCATGGGTGTGTCTTGCTACAGCCCCATGGGTAAAGCTGTGCTCACCTGTTCCTTTGTTATATAACCCCTTGCCCTGTTTAGGATAGAATCTTCCATGGAAGGGCCTTGTGTGTGTCCCCTTCTCTTACTATGCCCTTGGGTGTGGCCTACCCAGGTGTCAGTCAACCTGCTGACAGTGGACATCATGAAGATAGACTCAGCCCCCTGAAACCTGACCCCTTGCCTCATTTGAACAGCTTCTCCTCAATAAAAGGGCTCAGCGCATGCTCTCCTACTCTCTCTTTCTGCGGACCCTGAAGGTCAGAGGAGCCGTCACAGCGACCCCAAAGGAAAAGGTATTTGTGTCTCTTGTGTGGCTATTTCGTGCAGCCCAGTCAGCCCAGTTCAACTGGAGTGACCCCTGAGCCTTTTAGTCATGAGAACAGAACCCTGGCACCTAACTAATTACACTATCTACCTATCTTTAAATCTGGCTTCCTGGGCCCTGGGAGGGTGAAGACAAATGTGAAGATAGATGTAGAGGGTAAGCCTCAAGGAAGAGGGGAAACTGGAATAGGGGTGCGGAGAAGGGAGGCCCCAAAGGCCAGAAAGAGACCCAAGGGAGCCTGCCATCCTGGCCCAGCTGCTGGCCTGAGCAGAGCCACATGCAGGGCGCAGACAACCCTAACCCTAAGAACCAGATGAAAATGCCCATAAACCAACTGAGACCAGCCCTGCAAAACACAGGTTCTGTGGTGTGAACCGACCACACCACTGATCGTGGATGGCTGTAAATGAGCTAATGAGGCGGGGAGGCTGGAGCTGGGGCTCAGAAGTAGAGCGCTTGCCCGGCACGCGTGGGGCACTGGGTTCGATCCTCAGCACCACATAAATATAAAGACGTTGTGTCCAATTAAAAAATAAATATTTTTTAAAAAGTAGGAAGGCTGCAACCAGATGAGGATAAAACAAGCTCAGTTGGAGAGCACGAGGCGTTTGAGAGGGGAACAGGGCAGCTCAGAGGTGGTGGGCAGGCGGAGGGGTGGTTAGGCTTGCAGCATGGTGCGCCCCTCTCCGAGGGTGAAACCTGGAGGAAGGGCCGTCCACACCGTAGTGAAAGGAGAACAGAGGGCTGGAGGGAAGAGGGTCGGGAGGCGGGAAGGAGGGGAGTAGATACAGATCAGGGGTGAAGCTGGGTGCAGGAGCCCCCTGCAGGGATCGAGCTCACACCCACCCAAGGGAGGGCAGGAAAAGAGGTGGGAGGTCCTGACTCTCGAGTCCCCTGCTCACCCCCAGGGGGTTTCTAGGATTCTAAGCACCCAAAGGGCAGGGATTATGGGGGACCTTGGAGAAGATTGCAGCAAAATAAACTTCTGTTTCTGCCTGCCTCTGTCCTTGTAGCTCCTGATCCACCTTACTCTTCCCAGTTCCTCAGGCTAGACTGGATTTCAGGACCTTGTCCTCCGCTTAGAATCTCTATTCCTTATGCTCCGCACAGCGGGGACAGGGTAGCTTTGTTTTAGAGATTTTCCTTAAAGTACAATATTTGTTTTATTTATTTATTTATTTTTATTGGTTGTTCACAACATTACAAAGCTCTTGATATATCATATTTCATACATTAGATTGAAGTGGGTTATGAACTCCCAATTTTACCCCAAATGCAGATTGCAGAATCACGTCGGTTATACATCCACA